TTATGATTTAGACACGTATATGATTTTCATCAAGATATATACTGCATGTTTATCACAGAGAGAATTAGACAGCATATTCAAAACATTTAATCTTAGTGTTTTACAATTGATCTTTTAAAAAAAGGAGCTTCAAACAGTATTTTTGAATACGAAGCAGGGTGCCTGGATATAAATACATATAGTATCGACAATAAATTCTAGAAAATAGGTATTTTTTATCTAAATTTAAAGACGTCCTAGTTACCAAACAGCATCCATATTTTCAGATTCTGTACTGTTTTTCAATATCCACTTAGCCACAGTGCCACAATCAACTGGTCGGTGAGCTTCCTCTGTACACTGCAAGGCCAAATGCAAATCATACTGTTACAACAGCTAGATTTTAATTATCAAAGAATAAAGAATGAAGCGCAAGGTTTCTTTGATGAACTGTTACAACTCATAGAAAAATGGATAGACGATTCAAAGGGACTTACATTCCAGCAAAAGCCATGTGAGCAGCGACATGTAACATCATAGTTTCCACTCCCCAGAATAAAATCCACAGAATAATCACAGCCCGGTGCAGGACACCATTTAGTCTAATACACCACCAGTAGAGTGAAAATATTATAAAATGACATAGAATATGGATCAAACAGTTTTTTTTTTTTTTTTTTTTTTTTTTTAAAAAGGGGGTATCAAAAAGCAATGTTGCAAAAGGTGCCACCTAGGTTCAGTTGGGCAGTACTATGCTGCCCGCCTTGACCTAGGCGGCAGGATAATACTGCCCTACCCATTTTTTTAGGTTTTTTTTTTTCAAATTAAACCACTGTTTTATTTTTTTAATCTTTTTTAACAAATAAAGAACAAACAACATTAGTTGGTTGTCAAAGGTTAACATAAAGTAAAAAAATCTAAACACAGATCATTCAGGTTTTCTACAACTTCAGTTCTTCTTCTCCTTCACTTCAATTAATTGATTTCAATTATGTTGATTCTAGACTTCTATTAAGTTTTGTTGATTAATTGATTTTAGAATTTTAAATGATTTTTTTAAAAATTTTCCTCGATTTTTTTTTGAATTTTTTGGATTTTTTAAAGGAAATGCACAAATCACCAAGGCGGTTTGGGTGCTGCCTAGTATCTTGGCAGAGGCCTGCCACCTAGAGGCACCCAGTGCCTTCAGCAACACTGTCAAAAAGTCATAACCATACCTCATTTAAGGTGTTTGAAACTAGGTTCATAACAGTAAAGTGAAGACTCTGAGTAATATAAGGGTATATTAGCATCTTCAATGCTTAAAATGAAAGATAATAAGAGAAGGGATCCATTTACACACAACTCTTACATACAATCTTAGCCATTCACTCTACCCCATGAATGGCTGAGATTTATCACAACTTTTTAGATAAAAAGATAATTATCTTTAAAAAATAGGATCGAAAGAGGATAAATCCCAGCCATTCATAGTGGAGAGACGAATACTCAAGATTTTGTGTAACAGTCATGTGTAGTTGATCCCTACTCAAATAATGATTAATGAGAGAGTATATGAGAGAGTATAGAACAACCAAAATTAAGAAGAGAGTTTGATCCATTATAATCCTAAGGTAAATCAGAAGCCCCTCGATAAAGCTACTGCCAACTTTACACGCACTGGAGGTGATTATATTATATGAGAGCAAAGAATATATCAATAACTCAAATTTGCTCAACTATAACTATACAAAATACACTTAAAACGAAATTTTAAATTTCAATTCAGCCCTTATTAATAGATCCCACTACATTGGAACAATAATTGAGGAAAGGCAAAGGCCTAATAAACCAAAGCATTGAGTTTGAAGCTTCAACTCTAGAAAAAAAATGATCTTATTGAAATTCATACAATGAAACTTCTACCCTTTTATCATGAGACAGAAAGATTGAGAGAGAAGGAGAGGGAGGGGTCAAGAAATGTTTCTAACAACAAGAAGTCACTTTGTCAAATTTCTGAATGCATACTTACCTTTTTGTTGTCTTCAATGTAAGACCTAATGAAGTAACAAGAGTACTTCTCCCTGTCTTCATCAGAAACAAAGAAATTAATCATATCTTGACCAACAGCGGCAGAACAGGATGGATGAGGACATCGCAACATCAAACATCCAGGACCATCATTAATGGCTGTGCTTATATAACCTAGAGAGAAAAAGTATAAGAAAGAATCAGAAACAAACATAGAAGATCCATTCAAAGAAAATATTAACAATGAACTGAAGCAAGAACACAAAACAATTGAAAAAGACAGTCAAAACTTATGGTGTTAACCCTGAGAAAGATGAGGAAAGAATCAGAGAGAGAGTTTATTCTTTGATAGAAATCTATCTGTATGAATGAAGAAAACATACTAGAGCCATTGAAAACTGTATAAATAGCTTATTAGAAAGTCCAACTCATGAATCAAGATGGATAAAATTTCTCTGAATTATTTCTCTAGGATTGCAGAAGCAAGGATAACTAATTTGGGGGAAATGTTACAATGAGAGCCAGACAACCAAACCTCTTCTTTTTCTTTTTTAGTTGTGAAAGAGATGGGTGTATTATACATTATTTTCAAATAAAATGCAAAAGCTTTGTAATGTCACATTATCATCATCCACCCAAATGAATGAGATTCCATGAAGGATTAATATTTGATAAACCTAATAATTTAATATATGTAGGACTCAAGTAAAACCATACTCTCAAATATTATAATCCATAAATATCCTGAATTCCTCTTAAATTACAGATCCAATTATGCTTTATAGGCTTGGAAAAAGAAAAAATTATGCTTTATAGGCAATTTCATGTGAAAATAATAACTACTGGAATCAAACAGACAGGGTTTTATGTTCTGAAGATGACCATACAAAATCTTAGGGAATTGAAACAAACCTCTCCAGCATGATATACAAAAAGGATGACCACAAGCTGCAGCATTAAGCATATCATGAGGATAGGAATCAAAACATATCCCACATGTCATCTATCAAAAGAACAGTGTGAGAATTAAAAGTTGACAAAAAGAGTTCACAAAACCAACACCTGCATTCATTACTCTTATAAAAAAATGTCAAACAATCAATTAACTTTTCTGTAACATACATATTTTCCATCTGGAAATCGAACCACAGGTTTCACCAATAAGCCAACAGCCTTTCGTACCTTCTCCTCATCCGCAAACCATTCATCATGTATTTTACTTACACTCCTGTGAGTCCAAACAGAAATATTATTTGCAACGTCAAGGGACTACAATGCATCATAGCTAAGAATTTAAGGCAATTTGCCTTTGCATTTGTACAACAGCATTTTCACACTCCATTGTTAACTACCAAAAAATTCCACAATGTTCAATGGAAAGACCAAAAGGCTTATTAAATAGCACAGCTTTAAACACATCTCACCAATTATAGTGGCGGAGCACGAGGGCAGCTTCCACCTTTGAAATCGAAAGCACGGCACATACCCCCATGATGTCGTCCTCTTGACGCTGCCGAATATCTGCTTCGCTCAGAACTGTATAATTTTGCTGAGCAAAGAAGAGAGAACTCAGGACAAGCCATTGCAGCAAATTAAACAAAAAGGCAGCTTTTCAACTTATAGAGAAGCATATGCAAGCATCACTATAAGCTTGCATATGGAAAAACATCGAAAGTTCCTTCCTTTAGCGCAAACCCACAAAATCAAAACTAAACTAAATTACAGAAAATAAATAACCAAATAAAGAGCAGCACCTGGTGTCGATGATGGGCATTTGCGTCAGAGTCCTCGGAATCGTAGTCTATAAACTCATAATCGCCACCGTCAGCATCCGAATCATCGCAGACAGCCATGGCATCAGCTTCATTGTCGCCTCCACTGAAGAAGTCATCGACCCCCAATTCGTTGTTGGCGTCTTGCATATCGAAATCATCCTCTGAATCCATTGGAGTAACAACTTGTAAAGCAAATTGATGAATGAAATTGGCGGGGCTAGAACAAGAACGGAGGACAGCGGAGGAGAGGAGTATATACTGTACTTTCTTTTTTTTTAATGGGAAGGGAGAGTATACACTTGAAAGTGCACAAAAAGTGGACGGAAGTTTAGGACTACAATTACTAAATTTACATTAAGAAAATTTAAAATTATTAAATTTACATTAAAATAGGTTGTGTTGCAACTCTAAATATCAATAGGTATTGTAAAATTATTTAAATATATTTAACAAAATTTTTTGTGTTTTTTTATTATTATCTTTGATATTTTAAGTGTCAAAAACTTTTGATTTTTCTCAATCTTAATAAATAAACATATGAAAAGAATTTTATTAATAACATTTTTATAATTTTAGTGTTTAAATTACATTTTTAAAATGTAATAATCCTAAACAAATTTTTAATATATTTATAAAAAAATTATTTTATAATATAAGCTGCATTAGATGGAATCGATCCTTTTTCTACGTCAAAGATTATGTTAACTAACTATTCACATTTTTACAATTTGCATATAGGGTTAAGGCTAAATGTCGTCCTCTACTTTGTGAAAAGGTATAGTGTTATAGATGGAATGGAGGAGTCACGGAGGGATGAAATTATGACATTAAGCACTTTTTTGAGGAAGGACACGTTGAGCTTAAAAGAAGTAAAGGGCGCACCCGAGGCGATATTTTAGTAAAAGGGTCAAATTAAACTCTTTTACAAAGTAAAGGGATGAGAGTCGGTTTTAACCTTTTTTAAAAGAAATTTTTAATTCGAATTTATTTTATTTAAATATAAAAATATATATTAAATAAAATAATAGTGTGAATTTTAAAAATGCTCTATTCATTGGAAAAGAAATGTTTTATTAAATGTTCTATTTAATGTTTAAATATATAAAAATGTAAATTTATCCTCCTTTTTGTTTATTTTTAGTCAAACTAATTTAATTTTTTAATTTTTAACCTAAATTTTAAATAAAACAAAAGTTTGACAACTTATATAAATAACAATTAAAGAAGTTTTTCTTTATATGAAATTTTTATCAAGTATATATATATATATATTTTTTTTTATCAAACAAAATTTTCAATTATAGATAATATGCTAAATTTTCCTTTGAAATTTATATTTAAAAATCAAAAAATAAATATAAAATTACTAAAAATGAATAAAGAGAGTACAATATAATATTAATTGTAATAATGTAATACCAAGAAGAACCCTTTTATTATCCGCCGTTGTGCATGCTCTTACATATGATCTCCCAAATATATATAAGTAAAATGTTCTCCAGTCTGAAGTACATAAAAGATTATCAAAAACGAAAAGAACTATTCCTCTACCTCACCAAGATACAAAAATTCTATACTCCAGTGTATTCAACAGTAACTTTCCAGTTAATATCAGATCAACTCTAGTGAGCACCTCTACGTAGAGGTTGGTAATTGGTCCCTGACCCACAAACAGGAATATTGACACCCAGAAAAGAAGTTTGTATTATAAAGTTATATAAAGTTATAAACCTTTGATGGCAATTTATGCCATGTAGTCACCAAAAAGTATGTTAACTCCTCAACTTTCAAATTGAGTCAGACCTCAAAGAATGTATGTCCACCCGCATTCCTGAAATGAGACAGTTAATAAGAACTATGCTGCAATATTCCCCTAGACATTTCAGACAGAAAATGATAAACACAATAACTCAAGCTCTTTATAACAGCTCCTCAATCTTGGCTTATAATTGACATGGTGCAACTTCACTGGAGAAACAAAGCGGGTTGCAACTCTCATGCTCTCTTCTGAGAAACAAAGAAAGGCGTCAAATGCAGGAGCAGTTTGTTTCCACTCACCAAGCCAAGATTACTTTGCCATATGTCTATCTAATAAGTTCAAAAGATAAAGACATTAGAATAGCTTTATACTATTTATGAAATTTTAGAAGATTCTGAACATCTCCAAGTGCTTAAGCAAGGAAGTAAAGAAGTAAAAAAGAAAAAAATCTAAAGAAGTATCTCAAAATTATTTTCTTTTCTCCAATTGCATTTCCCTAGATAGGGCCAATTGACCTCCATTTTGATCATTGCACCAAGTTGACATCTAAATCCCCATAACTAGTGCCAAAAGGGTTCTGCCCACCAGAATACTAAATCATAAGATATTCGGGGCTACTCTTATACTAAATAACAATGCACAACAGAGAAACATCAACATGAAAAGTAGAGGCTACACTGAATTTTCATCTCTACAATAAAAAGAT